ACGAAGTCTTCCATTGGGCTTTTCTCTTATAACTATAGAATTAACCCAATCGGTAGGTTTTGTTACTTTTTCTATTACCCCGTTCTTTTCCATCTCATAAAGTTCGAAATTTAGTTTACCTACCAGTTCTAATGGTACTCTGCGAGGTGCATGAACAACTGGTTTAACTTTAGGATCTAGGTAATATGGTAAGTGTAATCTTCAAAACATCCAACTGACCCGTCAAAACATTCTGGGTACATCTCAATCAGATGCTCTTTGTCCTTTATACGAGGACGGCTTGTTATTGGCACAGAAGGTTTAATATAACTTCTGGACCGATTTTGTTGCTGATTTATTATCTTTGCTTGATCTGCAAATCTAACATTCTTACTGGGCTTTACTTCCTCTTCGCTAGACCCCTGGGCAACATCTCGAGAGACGTTTTTTCCTTGCACACTTTTTGTTTCCAGTGCACAATGAAGTGAAACCAGTTCAAGGGCTCTACACGCTTTTATTCCCAATATAGCTGGCCCTACTGCATCAGTTACGAAAAAAATACAGTTAAATTTTCCCTTTTTGTGTTGACATGGTATCAGTATTTTTCCAAATTGGGTAATCTCAGATCCCCCATATGCAGTTAAAATAACATCACTTCTTTACAGAGCACCGTCCCTGGGCATTCCTTCTGCATTAATTAATTCAGGATATAGAACACGAAACAAATGAATGGGCAATACATTGCTCTTAGCACCCGTATCTACTTTGCATTTGTTTTAGATTTATATCTCCATTATTCTTACGGTTAACACGTAGGGTAGTAAATATTTCTTCACTAGTAGTATTATTATTTTCTACACTATTTATTTCAATAGTGCCAATTGTTGGGATAACTGCATACGGGTCATTCTCATTTTGTTTCTCAAGACTATTAATGGTTTTTTGTTTTTTCGGTATGGCGACTTTGATCTATGTTGGCTCTTAGGTGATTTGCATACTAATTGCCAGTGATTTAATTTGCCACAATTCCTACATGTGGTACCATGAGCTGGACAGTTCCCTTTATGTGGCAGTTTGTGAGTTTTGCCACAATTTCTACACTGTATAATATTATTATGATTTTTATTATCAGCGTTCAATTTCTTGCGAGTAATGTTATCAATTCGCTGGGGATTTCCCTTATTTTGATTTGATAATGAATTCATTTGACGCTTCGTTGCTTCATAACTTCTAGCAATATGTATGGCAGTATTTAATGTTAGTTTTTCATCGCGTCCAATTCAGGATTTCTGAACTTCAGGATCATTTGTACTCCAAATTAGTTGATCTAATAATTGTTGAAAGTATACACTCGTAAACTTTATATAAGATAAACATTACGGACTTCCGATTTGTTTTATTAGTTAAGTGGTCACGTGTTTAATTGGAGACCATGTTGGTTTTTGTCGGGTTTATGAAAAACATCGAACAGTGAACTCTCGTTGATATTGCTTTGTTAACAAATAGTTTTTATATTCTTTTAAATTAAATCATTTCAAAAATAATCTGTCCTCGATTTCTTCATTGCCATTAAACTTGCATTTGGCTGCGATATTTTTAATCTTGGCAATAAAATTATCGATTGACTCACCTTGGTCTTGTCGCATACCTTGTAAAGTATACCTGTGAATTCGATGATTTGTCCGTGACTCTAAATGTTCCATAAATCTATCGAGAATCTTCGCTGGGTCTTTTTGGTCTTTCACGAGTCTTCGAATGTCCAACTGTTGTAGATGTCGAGACCTTGCTCGCCAACCCATAGTAGGATATAGCTCACTTGTTCTTCTCCTTCAGCGTCTTTAAGTATACTTTTGAACATCAGCTCACATTTTTGCTTGAATTTTCCAAACGCTAAGATCGAGTCGTTAGTTTCCTAATTCATTTGAGGTGCTGAAAACGGTGCACTGACCGCCATTTTTGAGTGTTTTATATCAAAATGTTTTGTCCAATATTTCTTTCGTCTTTATCGCTGGTGTCGAAAAATCGCTCACATTAACAAGCTGGCGGTTTTATCCCACCGCTGCCACCATGTTATGTTGTCTTGACTCGATCTAACTCTCAGATTGATCAGGATTGCAAAGTATACCTAGACTATATTTTTATTGTTATTGTACATTGCCACAGAGAAGCTGACTTATTTATATTACATAAAACCGGAAGTAACTAACCGGATATGAATATACAACAGTTTGTTTCGGGGAAATTTTCTCCCTCTTCAAAATGGTACATTAGTATCAAAATGCCACTAATCCTAGACTTGCTCCAATTCTCTCTCTGTGATTTCTTTCTCACTCCACTATAGTGTGAGTATAAATCAAAGAAAGAAATTTGGAGCATATACACTGGATTTGGGCCATATGGCTACACCAACATAGATTATAATAGTGCAGAATTGTGGTCTATGTAATCTTCTCTAAATTTTCTCTATTCCTACCGCCTGCCCAGTCCTGCTAGTTATACTTTCAAATGCTGAATAATTTTTTAACATAACTTTATCTTTAATATTGGAACAATTAACATTAACTGTTAGCTTTATGTCTGACAGTATATGCCGTGCAGGTTATAACAAGCTAATGGAATAGTACTTTGTTGATAATGTATAGGATTAAATAACTATACATATAAACATTCAAAACAAAAACAGAAAAACAAATAGAATGTAAAGTGAAAGTGCCTCTTGTAAGTGTCTAAAATAGTCCAAAACTAATTTCTGGAAGCTTCAAGAGCTTGCAATACATGGTGCCTTCATGTTTTCCAAAGAAGGTCTCGATTGACTGAGTGGCGAGGTTCCCGGTACAAAAATAGATTGACTGATCAGATGGATCTTGTTGCGTGACAGAAGCAATCTCTGGATCACACAAGTATACTCAATTCCTTGAATATCTGTTACCATAAGTTGCTTTTTGGATTTTATGTACGTATAATGTACAAATGTCTCTGCTTTTAAGCTCACTTCAGTTGATTCTTTAGTTGGCACACATATTTCTCCTGTGTTGTTGACCCACTTGTTAAAGGTGCCTTGGATAAACTTCTCAATGGTAATGTACTCACTATTCATGCATGAAAAGTATACCTTGTTGTAGTGAAAGGTGCTTCCAAACTCCACTGAGGGTGCATCTATTGCCATGTTTTCTGTAAAGTTCCTTGCAAGTGCGTTTAGTTGTACAGACTTTCTAGTGCGGGCCTCTATGGACCCAAACAAGTTTGTAATTCCTTCCACTTCCTCTTTTTATATTTCTTTAAAACACAATCCCTTTGGGAAGACCTGTAAAGGGCCTTTGCCATGTAAGCTTTGCGAAAGGCGCCCTCAGCAAATGGTTTACGCTGTACGGACATGTTAACATTAACGGGTTCCAGCCAACTCATTTCATCAGCAATAGAGAATTCTTCGATTCTCAGTGTGACATTGTCAGTTTCCGGGTTAATTAGTTTTCCCTTCTTTAACATTGAGCTGACTGACACAGACTTTGGAAAACCTGTTGACTTCAATTCATTTGCGTGTTTGGTATTTTCCTTTCTGTGGCTTTCCATATTAGGCTCACTTTTGTGTGTGGGGAAATCTGATACAGATGGCGATTCTTTTGAGGGGGAGCATTCAATAAAGCGAACGTGGATAACTTTCCAGTTTTTTTATTTGAGCGGCCTCTGTGAATGATGGCCCCCGTTCCCCGGCAAGCACATCGCACTCCAAACTGCTGCCGAAATGTGCTTTGCATGCATCTTTCATATTGTCCAGTGTTGGCTCCTTGTCTAGTATAATGTTCTCTTATTTAATAGACTTCTTGATATCTCGGCTACATGTAAACAACTCAATATATAATGTCCATATTCTAAATATAAACTAATCGTAATACGTGCGTTAATGATTAATAGACGTACATTACTATACCATTCCCTTTGTTTTAACTT